TTTGTATTCCTAGAATTTAATGCAGTGTCTTACACACGGTAAGTGTTAAATAAATGCTTATTGTCTTGACTTACATCTCTTTGGACTATTTGTTTTTATTTGTGTATATGTTGTTGTTCAGTTGTTTAGTGGCATCTGACTCTTCATGACCCCCGGGATCATAATGTCCATGGCGTTTTCTTGGCAAAGATACTGAAGTGGTCTGCCATTTCCTTCTCCAGTAGATTAAAACAAACAGAGGTTAAGTGACTTGTCCAACTGCTAGTCAGTGTCTGAGGACACATTTGAACTCAGGTCTTCCTAACTCTATGCCCAGCACTCTATCCACTAGCCACCTAGCTGCCTCCTTGTGTATCCCCCCTAATAATAGCTAACATTTATGTAGCATTTACTACAATTATTATCTCACTTGATCCTCACAACAACCCTAGAAAGTAGGTGCTATTATTAGCCCCTTACAGATGAGGAAAAGCAAACAGAGGTGAAGTGACTTGCCCAGGGTCAAACAGCTAATTAAGCGTCTGAAGCTGGATCTGAATTCCTGTCTTCCTGACTCTGGGGCCAGTACTCTACCCACTGCACCACTCAAGAGGCCTAGCTAATAAACTCTAGCTGCTCCTGTAAATAAACTAAGCTCTTTGACAGCAAGCACTATGCCTTAGCATTGTGGCTTGCCTATAGAAGGCACATAATAAGCATTTGTTAAATTTAATACAGTTGTTTGAATTAGTCTAGTCAATATAGCCAAGCAGAACTTAGACAGTCGAATGATACTACAAAAGATGCTTTTGCATGATAGTATCTCTACATATGTACACTTCATCAAAGAGTAATTGCTTCTTACATGTTTATTCAAGCAGAACTATAAAATCATTTCATGAATAAGGCTGGCTTTTCCCCATATTATTGTCTGGGCTCTCTACCTATTCAGGGATTATTTGTAAGCATCCAAACTCCATCTTTGGAAAAGGATCCTCTGAAAACTTTTAAATACACATAAAGTAGGAAAACTTCAAAAGCATCCTTGTACCTTATTTGGTCAACTCCTCACTTAATGCTACCTTTTCTAAAACTGTGTGGCTGATTTAAAAGAAGTTCACTCAACACTAGGAAATTTGTCCTAGGATAAAAATCAGGAAATAAGGATAATTGAATTCTGTATTTCCCACTCCACTTTCTCAGCTTGAAAAAAAAGAAAAACAACACTATTCTCAAAGGCCACAAAAAAGAATAGAGTAGAATATGATAAATTCTGTTAGCCAAAGACGTAAGCTACACATACACACACACAACAAAAACAAACAAAAAACCAAATAAACATGGTGAAAACATTGAGGATATAAAGAAAAGGAAAAATAATTCCTGTCCTAAAAAGAACATACATTATTCCAATGGGAGAGACAACACATAAATGCACAGGTACAATCAGGGATGTGTACACAGTAGATATGTGGTAAACTTAGAGAGAAAGGCTTTAGAAGTTTGAGATATGAAGAAATGCATCCTGCAGAAGGAAGCATTTGAGATGAGTCTTGAAGGAAGTTAAGGAGTGTAAGAGGTGGAAGTAAGGAGGCAGAGTATCTCTGGCATGAGGAACAGTCAGTACTCAGGCCTGGAGATGGGAGATGGAGTGCCACGAGCAAGGGAAAACAAGTAGACTACTCCAACTACATTCTAAAGCGCACTGAAGGAAGAAGTGTAAGAATATTGTTAAGGTAGGAAGTGGCCACAAAAATGTCTCAAATTCACTGAACACAAGTTCCATATGAGTATGAATCAAGAGAATAAAAAAGACAACATTATATATGAAAATGCTAATCCCACAGATTATAATTCTAACATTTTATATTTTAATAACTTTTTAAAAAGATAATCAACAGAAAGCCTTAAAACTCCACCTTGTAGCAGGTAAGAGGTACTATTTTATTAGTGGGAAAACATTCATAGAAAGAAAAAAGCATAAAATAGCAAGAAACCTCAGGCCTTTAATGTTCTCCATAATTTGACTCCACCTTACATATCCAACCCATTTTTCCAGCGCTCCTCAACAATTCACCCTTTGTTCTAAACATGCCTATCTCCTCCTTGTCCCACGAACGCATCTCTTCATTCCTGCCTCCATGCCCTTTGCTCATGGCCCTGCCAGGAACCTTCACTCCTTCCTTTAAAGCTAGTCGTCCTGAAAGTCTTCCAGGATCATTCAGCTTTCACTGCTCTTCTTCAGTGAATTTCCACAGTACAATGTCAGCATCATACAATTTATCAGTTGTCTATTACCTTTTATTATTTCCAGCTGTTTCACGTAGGTCAGTTTTGTCTCTCTACTTGAAGCCTAAGTGAAACAAATATATAGGAGGAAGATTGGACTAGGTAGCTTGTAGTTGAACATACTCCATTTCAACTAAGAGATTTCAGAGATCCAGTTCCAAAATTTGACAGACAAGGAAAGTGAGGTCCAGAAAGATTTAGTCAGTCAGTCAAAAAGCATTTATAAAACATTTACTATATTCCAAGCACTGTTCTAATTGCTGGGGACTTGCCCAAGGTAATAGCAATTTGGTGACATAACTAGAATGATAATCCAAATCTCCTTCACATCTAGTCAATCACTTCTTCCACTACATCATTCTGCATCTAAGGTCCCTTCCACCTCTAACATTCTATAATAAAACTGGAAGTTCTTTGAGGGCAAGAACCATGTCATACTTCTTATCTCCCACAAGGCCTTGGTACTATGCCTAGCACAGAAAAGAAACTCAGCACTTATTTGCTAATTGGTTATTATATTCCATCTTCTATCCAACAGATTATGATATCTCCAAAGTACAGACATTTAATGGAGTACAAAGTGCTATGAAAACAGCCTCTGTTTAATTACTGACACAAAAATTCAAACACTAGTAAACATACATTAAGGAAACTTACTCTAACCTTTAACCACTATTAAGACCTTTGCTCAAACTTCTAAAGGGACAATTGTCTCAGCAGATGTTCCCAGATGGAAAAATGTGACTAATTACTATAAGATTACCTTTAACTTTTGCCCTTCTATCTTCATTGTACCTAGGCAGTTCTATGGTACAATCCTCCTTACATTATTCAATTCATCTTCACCTTAACTTATTAATCTAAGGAGAGGTTTGTTGGTTTGTTTGTTTTGGAGGCAATGTGGTTAAATGACTTGCCCAGGGTCACACAGTAAGTACCTGAGGCCGGATTTGAACTCAAGTCCTCCTGACTTCAGAGCCAGTGCTCTATCCACTGAGTCACCTAGCTGCCCCAAAAGAGTTTTAAGATTCCAAACTGAGCTGAGGAACATAGCACAAGGTCCTTGTAAAAATCACCTAAAGGATGTGGGAAAAGAAACTAGGGGTGAAGAGAGAAGGAATTGGGAAAGTTTTCCGTGACCACTGCACCACCAAGATGCAACCTCTTTCATGCCTTAATCATTTCCAAAAGCCAGTTCTTAGACAGGTGAAGGTTCAGTAATTTCTCAGGCTTCTAAAACCAGGAAAACAAGGTAGCCTGTAAGCAAATCACCACTGCCTTGAGGAGTCCTGCACGCAAGTATGAAAAAAGCATCCACCCGAAAAAAGATGTTTTACCAGTCCACCCTCCAGCCTGTAAACTAACCAAGTCACCACATTCTTGACTACTCCTCCAGCAAAAACTCTGCCTTGGGCAAATGAGCAAGTAGCTTTTTGGTAAGAAGATTCTCAACAATGATTTGTGCAGTCTGTCAAGGCAAACTGTCTCAGTGCTTCTTTGCAAACCTTCCCTAATACACCTCCCTGTCACCACACTAGTAATCCCTTTCAAGAGCGTCTGGGATCCCCAGAGACATTAACAAAGAAACTATCAGTGTTGCAATTCAACCCCCATCCCCTTTCCACCCAAACAAAAAGATCCAGCAGAAGTCTTCACTGTAAGGCAGAGGGATCTCAGAGCACAATCTAGTTGAATCCCTCATTTTAGAGATGGGAAAACTGACACCCAGGGAGATTAAGCGATTTGCCCAATACCACACAGGCAGTAAGTAAGTGTCAAGGTTAACATTTGAACCCAGATCTTCTGACTCCAGAGCCAGTGTTCTTTCCACTCTACCATGCTGAGAGAGAGAAGAGAAGGGAGGGGAGAAAGCAAAGAGGGGAAGGGAAGGAAAAGGAGGGGAAAAGAGGGGAGAGAGAAAAGAGAGAAAGAAGAGAGGAGAGAGAAGTGAAAAGAGAGAGAGAAAAAAAAGAGAAGAATGAGAGGAGAGAGAAGAGAAAGAAGACAGGAAAGAAGAGAGGGAGGAAAGAAGAGAGAGAGAAAAGGCAAGAGAGAGGCAGAGACAGACAGAAAGAGGAAAGGGGGAGAAGAAAGGAGACGAGAAAGAGGAGAGAAGAGGAGAGGGAAGACAGAAATGAGAAGAGAGGAAAGAGAGAAGAGAGGAGAGAGAGGAGAGAGATGAGAGGGGGGAAGAGAGAGAGAAGAAAGAGGGAAAGGAAAGAGAGAGAAAAGAGGAATAGAAGAGAGAGAAAAGAGAGAAGGGAGAAGGAGGATGAGGAAGAGGAGGAAGAAGAGAAGATGAGAAAAAAAGAGGAGGAGGAAGAGAAAGGAGTGATGAAGTAGTCAGTGAGCGGAAGCTGGCACTTGGCACCACAAGGATGGCTCAGGTTGACACCTTACAGCTGGCACTGCTCGGAGGACCTTGCCCAGCCCCCCACCCCCCACTCTCCTGCGCGGACTGGACTGAGCAGGGTCCTCAAGCAGGGGCCACCGCCTGGCGAAGCATCCAATCAGATGGTCTGGTCGGCGGAGGGGGCGTTGGTGCTAGGGAGGTGACCCAGGCACCCCCTTAGAAGACGCGGCCCGGGCCTGGCACAGCTCCCTTGTCCGCCCCAGGCCCACGCCGCCGAGGCCCGCAGAGTGTCCGGAGAAGGAAGGTTGGGACCGGACCAAAACGCCCCGGAGATGCCGCCCCTCCACCTCCACCCCGAAACCGCCCCTGAGGGCCTTACCGAGGCACTGTCCCACCGGGGTGCTGAACGGGTTCCCCAGGAGAAACTCCATCTTGTGAGGACAGCCCCGCAGGCGGCGGAGGCTCCGACCAGCTGCCCGCCGCCGCCGCTGCCGCCGTCGCAACCACCCCCTACGGCTCTCCCGGCCTGAGTGACACTTGCCCCCTTTCCCGAACGGTGAGCTCCGGTCTCCCTGCCCCTCCTGCCGATCTAAGTCCTCATTGGGCCGTGCCTCCGTAGCCTTTTACCCATTGGCCATCGACCGTCCTCCCGAGAAGCCCCCATTTACCCCGCAGCCTCTGATTGGACCGCGGGGCAGGTAGGTCACTTGAGCTCTCTTTCTGGTCCCTACCCCTAGTCGTGGACGCTCAATTTGATTCGCCGAAACAGTGATCTATCTGAAGGCTTCCCATAATAATTGGATTAAAAACGAGGACGTCACCACCACCTCCCGCAGAGGCGGGCCAAGTGGGGGGACCCGCCCCCAGAAGACAGCGATTGGAGGGAGATTTGTTTTCTCTATGACTGGTTGGTGAGAAAAGCATTTTCCCCCACCCAAAAGTTTGGGCATGTGACCAGTCAACTTTCACCTTGGAGAGTCCGTCATCGGATTTCCCCTTAGCAACCAGACAGTCGCGTTATCCTCCCCTAGCAACCGGGCAAACTTCTTTCAGGCTGAAACGAGACGGAGGTTAGAGCTCCGGAAGGTGAGATATCCCGAGCTAAGAACCCAAAGCAGCCTTCGGGGACGGGCCAGAGGGGAAGGGCTCCACAGCCTGTCCTGATCCCACCGGACCCACCGGGGCCAGGGCGAAGGCTAGTGGAGTCAGGGACTGGCGTCAGAACCCCAAGTTCTAACCCCACTCCCCCTCCGCCACCCGACTCCTACACTGTCTGTCTCGGGGTCTGGGCCTCATAGGACGTGCCCACAAGACTCAATCTCTTCATCCACACGATGGGGACACAGGACTCTTTGCTACTTCCCCATGCTTTATCTGCCTTTTGAAAGGATCCTTGGCTCCTGGGGCAGGAAGGGGCTTTCACAACAATACAGCTAGGTCCCTATCAGTACGAATAAGGAACACCCCCAAGTGGTCTTATGTGTTCGAATTGGCACTATTCGAGGTTATGATTGTGTAAAATACGATAATTAGTTCTAGCCTAATGGAAATAGCAGTGCTGATTTGAATAACGCCACCACTTATTGCCTACGTCTTTCTTCTCCTCTCTCTCTCCCTCTCTTCACTTTCTCTTTCCCTTCCATCCTTCCATCTATCCATCCATCCTTTTTCAGTCCCTGCCAACTTTCTACAAAGGGTCTCTATTAATGGAACAATTCTTTTTCAACAAACCCCTTCAAAGGATTCATTATTTACACCAATGCGAACCTAGCTATGTGTTTCCAACTATCCTTTCCTTGCAACAAACCTGTGAAGTGGGTAGTGCAAGTATTATCCTCATTTTACAATTGGGAAAATGTAAGGAGATGAAATAACTTTGTCACAGCCTCTCATCTACAGTCAGAGCTGTGATTCAAACGTAGAACTAGACTGACTGTAAATGTAATGCTTTTTCTACCTCATTTTTACTTTATTCTCTCTCTTTTCTGTACCCCTACCAATGTCCAATCCAATTCATTCCACATGTAGCTGTCGATGTAAAAGCCTGAGGTAGGCATGCTGAAAGGGAATGGAGATGGGAGAGGAAAATTGAAATGCTTACGTTCTGGGATTTAGAAATGGGGTTCTGTCTAGTCCATAGTTCTCCTTTCCTTCTCCCTCCTTTCCTTCAGACTCAAGGAAGGTTTAGCCCTAGGGGCAGCTGTTCATAATGGGTTCCCCTGGTGGTTTTGAAGATAATTGGAAGTTGAGGCTCTTTAATCATAAGGGAAATAATTTGCCCCAGATCCACATTGAACCTTCCCACTACTCTTGGAGATTTAAGGGTTATAATAATTGTAATAAAATTTGCTCCCCTATATAAGGATGGTGGTCCCTTGACCAAGTCAGAATTGAAGGATCGTTGCTTATGTATTCTGAAAAATATAGAAAACTCTTCAGGGCCACCCCTGATCCATGCACACTCAGGTCCAAAGTAAGGACCAGGCCACAGGGAGTGGGAATAAACTTATTCATAAAAGGATAAAAAGGATTACAAACTACCATGGTGAGAGGGGAGGGGTGTCAGGTGGAGAAGACATGGGAATTTATGAAAATATGGGGATATTTTTTGTCTAATTCTGTCTAAAAGGATGGAAGATGGAGAGGGGAACAGGAAATTTGGGGAAGAGAGAACACTCTATCTTAGCTTGGATTTCTCAAGTAGAAAGCATTTACCAAGATTGGGATCATCTGTTCTGGTAACTGCTAACCACCTGCCTCCAGTGGATGAAACTTCTGCCAGTTGTGGGTAGATACCATAGCACTGTCCTTCTTTTGCAGCCCTTTCGTGGCACATTCTCCACCATCTCTTCTGTTCAGCTGACCTTGGGCCCAAAGACCCAGGCACTGCTAGAATTTGGGATGGGGGAGTAGCAGAGGCACCTGGAAATATAAGGCACAGCATCAAATACTCATCAGTATGTAATAGAACAAGGATAATTAATCTAATGTCCCAGGTAATGGTCTCAGAGCACCAAGGTACCACCACAATATATGCAACAGACAGAACACAATGCAGAGCTTCACTTGACAGGTGCTTTGTGACTACAGGCCTAAATTATATGTAGGATATATATTACAAGCCAAGTATTAATAGCAATAATAAGTATAGTAGGTCTATGAAACAACAAAATTAGCAAAACAGCAACTATAACAGAACTAACAACACTAAGCAAAATTAATAGAGAAATGTTGCTACAATGCAGTCATAGTATCAATACAAAGCAAGGCAGCATAACAAAAATGATAATAAAACATAAACATATGATAATTAACATTTATATATCTTACATATATATCAATAAACATATATATGAAAGTATATTCAAAATATATGCTACATGGATATAAACATTACCATTATTGTCCTCAGCTTCTTGCTGAACAGAGAGATATACTGGTTGTGAGTCTTTAGTCTTTCTGTCCTCAGTCACTCCAAAATACAAATCAGCATGTAGGCATGGTTCACACCTAAACATCAGCCAGTAGGGTGTAAAGTTGGTGGCTTTATTCCTGGTAGAATTGTATGTATTTTCAAGGTAAGCCATATGCTGTCTCCACTGAGATTTTTTTGTTGTGGTAACAGTGCCCCTCGCACATTCATCAGAATGCAGTTTAAACATTTGGGGTTGTGGTTCCCTTTGAAGGTGATAAGGCCTTGTTCTAGACTTCCTGATGGCAGCCAAAGTTCACAGTTCTTTGGGTAATGAACTTTCAAAAGCTCAACCTTGATCAGAATAGATCCTCACAGGATATCTATATACTGGGAAGTATTTTTACGGGACCATAGGTTTGTGCCACTGCTGACTCTCAAAAGGAACTCATTTGGCACCTCTGAAGATACCAGAGACTGACTCCAGTGCCTTGAACCTTTCAAGCATGCTACGTTCCATAATATTTTAGCACCTATGGAAACTTTCTGGTACTTGGTTGAATATACCAGTACATACTGTGGGGATTGAGTGAATCATGCTGACTCTGTCTTGTGACTCAGTTCTGGATCTAGCTCAGTTTCCTTTCTATTCAATTATGGATCTAGTCCAATTTGTCTTGTGAAAAAACTTTATGCAATTATGGGAATTGTGAGAAAACTTTATTGCATTGTTTGGACCTAGCCCTTCGTGCTGGGGAAACTAGACCACCTCTACTTGCTGTTTAGAGACCCTTAACTGAGGACCTAGGTTATGCTGACCAGAAATCCAGTCAGATCTAAAGACTAATGCAAGGAGTCTTTAAGACCCATATGTCTTATCTGAAAACTGGCCCCATGGTGGTCAAACAGTCATTGTTTCCATGTTCCTTTGATTGAATACAGACACTTGGGGGAGTGAGATGCTTCTTTTTCTGATTTTAGGAAATTGTACCTCTTCACTTACCCCCTCCCAACTTAGAAAGTCCCTAATCTTTCTTCCAGTTAGGAATCAAATTTCCTAATTTGGTATCCTAGTTAATTGTATTCTTTTATTTAATTGGTCTTATATGGTTTTTTTTGGACTAGGCAGTGGAATTAAGTGACTTGCCCAGGGTCACACAGCTTGTGTCAAGTGTCTGAGGCTGCATTTGAACTCAGGTCCTCCTGACTTCAAGGCGGGAGCTCTATCCACTGCACCACCTAGCTGCCCCTGATTAATTTTTTTAATGCATAAACATCTATCTCCCCCTATATTCAGAGTCCAGTACAGGAGGCCTGATCCCAATTTGTTAGGCAGCTGGCATGGGTTGCTTAATGAATCAGTATGCTCGAGAGCTCGAACCTTTGTTTCCTCAGTCATTTCATCTTCTACTTGCCACAGTAATTAGTGAACTGGTCAGTTTCCACCAATGTATAGTTTGTGTTCTTGCTGTCTCCTTCTAGAGATAAGAAGTCAATGCTAAAAAGTCCTAAAGGCTTGCTAGTGCTTACATGCTCAAAACATGCAGCATGAATTGATAGTATATTTTTTACATGCAACCAGAGACAACTCACACTTCTTAGTGACATCTGTAGCCGTTTGGGGACAGAAAAACATATTTCTTGCTAGCGCTAAGGGTCCTTCATTGGTATATGTGTTCAAAGCTATCATGTAAAGCTTCCAGAGCTTTACAGCAATATTCATTGGGTAGCACCAACTGCTTCCTCATACCATACATGGGATCAGTGCCAGCTCAATGCCATATTCCATTGCATAGCTCCAACTGCTGCTGTTCTACATTGTCTCAACCATGAAGTGCCTTCAGAAAAATGGCATTTGAGCCCTTTTCTAACACTGCCTCATTTCTTCTTTTATATCTTTAGGCAATCCTTCATCAACCATCAGATCTCTTTGCCAGTGATCCACAGACAACTGAGGCCAAAAAAAAAAAGTTTGTTCAATTAAGTATGGTTCATGTGTGCTGCTGGCACACTGTGTAGTGGAACTCTCAAACTTTCAGCTGTACTGACATCTGCTTGTAGTCCACTTCCTTGGGTGTTACATATAACTTGCACTATTTCTTCAGTTGTTACCATAGTACCAATGTAATGGTATTCTGGAAAGGGCATCTGTATCCAAAGACTTGGAAATACCACAAGTCTTTTCAACTTGGTAGTTAATGCTAAATACATAGTTAACTAGTGCTGCTACCCATCTCTGGCTTCTGACTTTGCACTGATTGGGATATGTCTGTTTACAATTGTTGTCAAACTATATTTGTAACTTTCTGCTGAAAACGTTGCCTTAAGGGGCAGTAAGGTGGCGCAGTGCATAAAGCTCCAGCCTTGGAGTGAGGAGGACCTGAGTTCAAATTCTGCCTCAGACACTTAACACTTACTAGCTGTGTGACCCTGGGCAAGTCACTTAACTCCAATTGCCTCACCCCCCCAAAAAAAAATTGCCTTAAATTTCTCAGTAATAGCTCACTTCAAAGCCAGAAACTCCACATTGTGAATGGGGTAACAGTTCTCACTGTTACTAGGTCTCTGTTGACAAATGCAGCTGGTTTCATGTGACCATCACTCTCTTGGTACAGGTCTGTGCCTAAGTCTTGCAAGCTGGCATCCGTAATCAGAATAAAAGACTTGCTTGGGT